GCAGCGGCACCCCGGGCAGCCTGCGGCAGTGCGGGGGACCGCCGGCGCCTCGCACCAGCCAAGTTCTGCGGCTCCCGGTGTTCAAAAACCGGGAGAGGGGAGCAACACGCGCCCACCGCCCGGAGCGACGATTCAGTGGCGTTTCACTCCACAGGGCGATTTATTTTCCTTCGAACGTTACCGAACTACTGCAGGAAATCAGTCGCGTTTCGTGTTTTTTTGCAGACCTGAAGTAGCTTACTGAGACAACCCGCAAAAATACAATCGGGTAGAAAACATCCTCCTTTCCCTGATAGTTCACCTTACGTTGCAGGGGTGACTGGACTGACAACAGAACTCTGCTGAGATCCCTTCTCCTCCTGTGACGTGTTCCTGCCGCCGCTGAGAATTAAACGCCTGGCATCAAGCAGGCCAGAGGCTGACACTGTTTTTCCTCCAACCGGTCTTCATTACGTGATATCCTTTTTCCAGAGCTAAGGTAATTAAGTATCAGCAAATTCTGCAGTGCTCTAAGGGAACATTGCTTTTTCACCGCCCTAAGTTCCCATTAGACGGAAAGATTTATGCTAGGCGCTGTTTGAAAACCTTCTGCAATCCCCAAATTTCACCTGCTTCCATAGAAGTACAACCATCAAAGCTACTTAAATGAAGTATCAGAGAATAAACTTCACCAAGAGAAAAGGCCTCGCCTGGAAAGCCGGAAGGCCGGTAAGAAAGACCCAACGGGACAGAATTCGCTGCTAGTGTAAATATGGGCAAACCCGCGAAGGCGTGTGGAGGTGTACGCTCCTCCTCAAGCCGGTTACGAGTCTGGATGGTTAACCTCTGGGCCAGGTGAGACCTTCTGGAGTTTTATGTTAAAGAAAAAGGAAACAAAATTACTGCTTTTCCAAAGCAGCTGACATTTCTTTCAGTGTATTTCACTGCCAGATGCTCTGTATTCATACAATGAAGAAAATGTTTCAAATACGTGAACGTAATCCGGTACGGAAAAGTAATCGGAACACAAATATAAAGAACATTCAGACTAACCTTCTGCACCAGAACGCCATCAGGCAGTGCTTCAGACTGACAGAAGTTACGCAAACTGGTTCTCCGTATTAGTGCAACGTGGAGCCTGGGGAAGGAAAATCTGTTAGAAACACAACTCCGATTCCCGTGCCGACAGCAAAATTACGGTGTGTGGCTTACTGTTCCCTTGAACTGTAGTTGTGAGGAAAATAAAAGACAAAAAGCCCCCCTGGTGTGAAACTGGAGTCACGCCCTGACGTTAAGTTTTAAGTGTCATCGCAGCGTAAACACAACCGAACGGAATAAGCATTTGGGTTCCTTTTTTTGGGCCTTTTACCTCAGCGTCTGTCACGGACTACCTGCTACTTAAAAGCGTCACGACCAAAATTCCGATGGTTTCATCGATTTTACTAAGCCCGCAGAGCAGCTTACGATTACGTCGGGCCCACCACAGTGGCTCACG